GCCTTCGCAAGATTCGAATCATCTACGGTGCTACTGGCCTGGTTTTCAAAGACTCCATTGGAGCCTCCTCCCTTTTCATCAACGCCATGGCTTTGGTTGGCTTCCTCCATGGTGAAACCGAAATCAAAATTCAAGTAAAACCCAGAAAAATTGAGGCCAAATCCCAGAATCCCAACAAAGAAAAACGCCTGAAATCGAGAAATTTGGGAGATAAAAACAAGTGAAGCGTGCTATTTTTGCAGAAGAAACGTAACAGAGGAAGAAGAAGAAGAAGGGAATAATACGTTGACCAGAGTGAATATGTTCTCAGTTCGCACTGTGGCTGATTAGATAGAGTAATAGAGAAATCAAAGGCAAAATCAGGGTTAAAATTTCTCTTTTTAGCACAAAAAAATGGAAAAAAAGGTAAGAAAAGAAAGAGAGAAACAAACCCTAGAGAGGAGCAGGAGCAGCAGCCAGAAGCCAACCCCACTTTATCCTTTCGTGTACAAACAAGGGGGTCCCTCAACCCTCAAACCCTATTTATTTTATGGAGTAAAATTTATGGACGGTTCAGATCTTTTCTTTCAATCGCTATTCGCCCAGATTTTGATACGTTTCGATTACGCCGCCCTCCTATTCCTCCCCTGCGCTTTTTTTAATAAAAAAAATCTTTTATGTAAATCTTAATTAATTTTTTTAAAGGGAAATCTTTTTATTAATTAAAAGAATAAACGAGAGAAGAATTTCTCTCTCTATGTAATTGTAAATGCCAAGGTGATGAAGAATGAAGATGAAAGGTTTTAGTTTCCTTTTTCATTAATCCAAAATAATAAGCCACTTTAAAGATTTTTGAGATAGCTAAATTTTGAAAAATAAATGAAAATATGTCTTTTATTTTAAATAATTGAAAATATGACATTTCAAAAAAAAAAAAACTATACCTACAATATTTTAGAAAAGAAACGTCATTGATTAATAGTTAGATTGTAGCAATCAAAATATTTTTATTCTATATAATATAAGTTCACTGAATAACCACTAATTATGATCATAATAATCACTACTATTTTGTATTAGGGGTAAATTTATCTCGATAAAATTTTAGATTTTACCGAAAAGTCATGTGTCATTTTCACAATATCTAATACTTTTTGTCAATTAAATTTTTTTTCTCACTCCTGCTGTTAGCCCTGTTTTATGTGTATGTGTAGTGCAGCCACCTGAACATCACTAATTCAAAGAAGGCCGAAAGCCCAAAATAGTAATTGGGTTGGGCCCATTAGCCTTGATCTTGCTTCCAGTTAGGCTACAAAAATATACGTATGCTATTACAAAGTTATTATTTAAATTGATGCTTCTAAGGTACAAAAATACCTCCTTTTTTTTTCAAGATACTCAACTGGTCAAGTGTCCAGGGATATCGTGTTGTTGAATTTAAAAATAAAAAAAAATATATGGAAAACAAAAACTTTCTTTTTTCCCTAAATGAGAACATCACGATTTACATCATGTGCTTAATTTTGTTTGTGAAGTTTTTGTGCTCCATCCGCATTAAAATAATAATGAGATGAGTTTTTTTCGGTAGAACTCATGGAGTGAAGCTGATCTAGCAATGGGGATTTTGTAACAAATTGGGGGCAGAATTATGTTCAATCCAAAATGGGTTTTATTGGATTTAATCAAAGATTGTAAGAACTTGAGGATCTTTAGGCAAATTCATGCTCAGTTGGTAACATCAGGATTAGTTTACGATGAATTTGTCACAAACAAAGTGGTGGAATTCTTTGCCAACTTTGTGGAGTTTGGTGACTATGCCTGTGATTATATGAAACAAGACAACACGCGCTTGAGTTCATTTCCACTTAACTCTCTGATTTATGGGTATGTTGGTGGCGACTTTCCGCAAATGGCTGTTTCAGTTTATAGGAGGATGGTTAGAGATGGGTTTGTTCCTGATCTGTTTACTTTTCCAGTGGTTTTGAAAGCATGTTCTAACTTTTCAGGGAGTAGAGAAGGCACACAGGTACACGGTGTGGTGGTTAAGTTGGGGCTTTTGAGTGATCTTTATGTGCAAAATTCGCTGGTTCGTTTCTATGGAGCTTGTGGGACTTTTCCTAGTGCAGGTAAGGTGTTTGATGAAATGCTTGTGCGAGATGTAGTTTCTTGGAACAGCTTGATATCTGGGTTGGTGAAGGCGGGACATTATGGTGAGGCCATTGCTTTGTTTTTCAGGATGGATGTGGAGCCAAGCATTACAACTTTAGTCAGTGTGCTTGCTGCTTGTGCGAGAAAGAGAGACTTGGGTATGGGAAAGGGAATTCATGGGTTGATTGAGCGAAAGTTTAAGTCAGATTTAGTGCTAGGCAATGCGATTCTAGATATGTACGTAAAGAATGGATGTTTGTGTGAAGCAAAGAAAGTATTTGATGATCTCCCTGTGAGAGATATTGTGTCATGGACTATTATAATCACTGGATTGGTACAGAGTAACCATCCAAGAGAGTCCTTGGAACTGTTTTCGATGATGCAGACCTCGGGCATTAGTCCAGATGGGATCATCTTAACTAGTGTTCTCTCTGCTTGTGCTAGCCTAGGAACTCTAGATTTTGGCACATGGGTCCATGAGTACATAGATCAAAGAGGAATCAAATGGGACATCCATATCGGAACTGCTATGGTTGACATGTATGCCAAGTGCGGCTGTATCGAAATGGCGCTGCAAATCTTTAATAATATGCCTCAAAGGAATACCTTCACTTGGAACGCGTTGCTATGCGGTCTAGCAATGCATGGACTTGTGCATAAAGCACTAAATCTTTTTGAAGTAATGATAATGTCCGGTGTCAAGCCTAATGAGGTAACATTTCTAGCGATTTTGACAGCTTGCTGCCATTCTGGTCTGGTTGATGAAGGGCGCAAGTATTGGAATAAAGTGAGTAGTAAACTGTACAATCTATCGCCGAAGTTGGAGCACTATGGATGCATGATTGATTTGTTCTGTAGGGCTGGACTCTTGGAGGAAGCTGTGGAGTTGGCAAGGACTATGCCAATGAAGCCTGATGTGCTTATCTGGGGAGTGCTACTCAATGCTTGCACATCTTTTGGAAATGCAGAGCTCTCTCAACACATACAAGATTACATCTTAGATCTTGATCCAGAGGATAGTGGAGTCTTTGTGCTGCTGTCCAATACATATGCTACTAGTGAAAGATGGACTGACGTGACCCGATTAAGGAGGTTGATGAAGGATAGAGGTGTGAAAAAAGCACCAGGATCAAGTGTCATCGAGGTGGATGGTAAGACTCACGAGTTCGTGGTTGGAGATATTAGCCACCATAAAACTGAAGAAATCTACCAACTGTTAAACCTCGTCAACTCTGTCCATCATGAAGCCCATTTGATGCATCCATTTTAGGTTAATGGTCAATTTTCTGGCAAGTCTTTTGGATAACAACTTCGAAACCCTGTTTAGACCGATTCATCAGCATCTACTGCTGCTACGTTGGAACAGATTTTCTTCAATTTTTTGTCCAGATGTATCATCTACCACTTTGTCTAGCTTTATTGCAGCAGGAAATTCTAAAGTCTGCAGTTAAAATTGATAAGATGAATTAATATCCTATCAAGGAAGCGGTGAGCAATGAACAGGATGGAAATTGCTATCTTCTTGTTTCATTATAATCCATCAAGAGAACTATCTTCTTATCTAGCCATGAAGACACCGCCCACCTACATCCAGAAAGCTCATTGAAGTTTCAAGAGTCAAGATTGGGTTGGACGTTGAAGATAGGACAGCGGAAAGTTTCAAATAAGGATTGAACTACTACCGAATTAATGAGATCTTTCTCACTGACAAATCAGAAAGCAGCCAACAGTTTTAGTAGATCAAGAGAGATCTTGCAGCAATGTAAGAGATTGATGATTTATGGTATGCAGTCATTTACATTTTTTTAATTTCTGTATAATTTTATATTCTAAGAAAATAACATGAAACGAATAGCTCTGGAAAAGTCTCATGGGAAAAGATCGTCAATGTTTCATTTGGTAGTTGTTGGATCTGTAAAGATTCCTCAATATGTAATCTTTCTATTGTAAACAAAGTAATTGTACAACTTACAGACAGGACGCAATTCCAAATCATAAAGGAAAATCGGTACAAATGATTTATGCTAGTCTTGCTTTTTCAACTTTCAACTCTAAAATTCAGAGTATCAAACTCTATTCTCCTTCACCCCCTTGGAATGTCTCTCTTCCAGTATCCTTCTTCCCATATACCTGCACCATGGAAGATTCATATCACAGTAAGGTCTCAAATGCCACTCAGTAACGCAACTGATTAACTTTCTAATTCGTTTAGATAAATTTAAATTAAACTCCTTGATATATAAGTTACAGGAAAATCTGGAGATCCGGGCCAGTAAAATAAAGCTTTGAAATGATAGTGAGCCAATGTCATAGAAAAACCCAAATGCTAATGTCAATTTTTAATATTTAAGATACTATTAGTTAATTGTTATTATCTTCTTTGTTCTTACCTTCCAAGCATCATAACAGTAGCTTGAGGATTGGTTCCGGGGGAGTGATGAAAAGTTGATCCATCAATAACTCTAAGAGCACTGACACCGAAAACCTTGTAATCTTGATCAATGACTCTACCAACTTGGCAGCCACCATGGTAATGCCATATGGTCATGACAGTGTCAATGCAGAACTGTTCCAAAGAAACTGCAGCTCTAGCATGCTTAGGTCTCAAGTTGAGAGGCAAACTCGCCATCATATTGAGAAGGGTCTGCACTGGATATTTCCTATCACGAAACTTCGAAAAAGCTTTTGAGTTTACTACTTCTATGATTGTTCTCATCCCCTCAACGCACCTCCTCAGATCCTCTGGTTCTTTGAAATAGTTGAAGGTTACAGAAGGATTGTCATGTGGGTCAATGTTCTGAAGCTCCAGGTGACCTGTGGATCTCGGACCCATAATTTTTTCAAGTATGATTCCACCTTTTAGTGTTGCCTCTCTGAATGGAGTTGCTCTGCCAAATGCTTCTGGAGCTATTGTGAATGGTTGGTCACTCTGCAAATTTCATCTTCAGATTTAGATAAGTAAAACATTTACTTTATGCATTCAGCTTACTTACGAAAAGCACTTTGAATTTCAGTTACGTCCTTCCCAATTTATATGCTGAAAATGAAAACAAGCTGCAATGGTGGAAATCAAGAACCTGATTCAAGAGTAATTCAAAGCTTTCTGAGAGTCTATGAGCCAAAGAGTGAGCAAAGCTCAATCCACTGGCTGTTTCAATGTAGCTGTCAAACTTTGTTATTCCCACCACTTGAATTAGAGAGACCTCCACAGGCCGGGGCGAAGGTATGAAGAGTATGTTCATTGGATTGTCAGCCATTCCTTGCCCTACCATGGGCTGGTCTAACACCACCTTGATCTTATGGGCCCTAAGATGATGGGCCGGCCCAATACCGCTCAGCATCAATAACTGTGGGCTTCCAATTGCCCCAGCTGAGAGAATTATCTCATTCTTGGAGTTTCTCTTCAGATATGCTCTGTGCTTAACACCATGTGCATCTTTGAATATCACTCCAAAAGCTTTAGGTCTTCTTTCTGCATCAAAATGTTCATATTGTAAAGATTATGGAGTTACGTTATTGTCATTCGAATGAGACACGAAAGCGTGTGACTTTGTTATTGGTAGGTCCTGTATCAAATGGAAAGCAGTAATAATGTTTACCTTTGTGGTATATAAACAAGATCTTATGTACAGTTGCATGCAAATAAACTTCAAGACTTCTGGGATCAGCGTACTGAAGCAAATCAGCAGCAGTATGTCTGTATCCTTCTCTGTCAAAGATCGTCCCTCCCACCTTAGTCCCATAGATATGATCATAAGTGAAACCATTGTATGGCAAAACTCCCACTTCAATCAGACCATCCCTCACTGCAGATTGCCACTCCAACATTGGTGGCTCAAATGCCACCAGTTTCTCAACCCATCTGTAAGATTGATTCACCAATGTCTCATTCCAACCAGCTTTCTTCACATAATCCTGACCTGCTCGGGTGTAAAATCCGGCATTCAAGGCCGAACCGCCGCCTAAAACGCGTGCCCGAGCATTGAGAACCCCATCCCGAGAGACAAACTGTTGGGTTGGAGATGATGGGCTGGTGTCTGAAAGGGTGGTGGCAAATTTGCTGATATGCGTTACGTTTGAATTGTAATATGGCGAGCCACCGCGCTCAAGGACTAGAACGGTGGCACCGTGTGAAAGAGTGGCTGCCAATGGACAACCAGAGGTCCCTCCGCCAATGATAATGTAGTCGTAGTAGACGATTGGCGGAGCTGAAGTCGCTTCTCTTACAGAAGTTCTATAAGGAGCTGCAACATAACATATAAATAGTGTGAGAAATGAGCTGGAGAGAGTAGAGGGAGAGAGAGAGACGAACTTACGATTCTCTGAGCAGGAGAAACTAGAAAATAAAAGAAAACCAGCAACAAAAACCTCAGATAGTTTCCACAGCTTCATTGTCAATGCCAAAATGAATATAAAAAATTATAATAGGTATCTTCTTGTCTTGTTTCGCAGAGAAAAACACCAAATTCTGTCCTTTAAATAACTCAAAAGACAAACTTCAACTTGATCCTAACATTCTTTAATCTCCTAAAACATCTCACTTGGCCATCTTTTCCCATCAGAAACAAACACCATCTAGAGTTAACAGTTCAACAACATCCATAGCCAACTTCATATAAAGATTCAGTGTCATCCATAGGCCATAGCCATCCCTCCCTTGTATATCAAATTCATAACCTGAGCGAGCCGAATGGTTTGAAAGAGAAAAATACTTGTTTGTTTTGCCGAAAAAGATGGTATGACCTAAAATCTTTATCAATGATTTTGATTGCGTGGGGCGTCGAAACTATCTATATAACAAGTAATTTTCTGTCAAAGAATCCATGCTATTTAATTCTGATCTTCTACTTCTCTACCTGTAATTAATGGAAATAATTGGAACTATTCAAAAAGAGGTTCTTACTGATCATTTACGTATGTATGGCATAGGTTTGTTTGGTTACTTTTGGTATCTTATTAATTGGTTCAACCCACATGCATTAAAAGAAGACATATATTCACCAAAATTTCCTTCAACTATAAATTACGATCTAATTCAATATGACTTTAAGAATAGAGTTCCATTTCATTCTCCATTTTATATGTTTTGTTTCGATCAAATGGGATCAATTCAAGGTTAACTATGTATTTTTTGTTCATGTAGTTCGAGTATTTTGTCTAA